GAAAGCGAGCAAGGCGACGGTAACATTCGAAGACGTTTCTAGTCAAACTGCCAAAACTAGGTTAAGAAGGTTCAAGTACATACATAAGTCTACCTATTCCAATGTTCAACTGGGATGACGATGGAAATGGACTGTTCTCTGCCGTAGTTTCCTTAGCGACATTAGAATCCTCACAAGGGACGGGGGTGCAAATACCGGGAAAGATGACTAAACAACCCACCAAGTTCTTGGGAAACTTATCATTGGAAATCGATATGGTTGTGGAGATCTGTTTCGGATGTATGTTGAAAATGGAAAGTTATGCATAGATTTGGCTGTGCGACTATCTATAATGTCGAAGCAAAAGCTTTTGCGACTTTGACTATAAATATGTAAAATTTACTATAGATTAACAGGGCCACCCTTGGCTCGGCTTGTAACCTTTCGAATGTACATATGCATTTTTTTCCAAAAACACTAAAACCTCTCTAAAGACTAACTTCTGGCTGATGTCTGGAAAAACTGTTCGGCATTATCTCTTTGTATATGACACAAGAATTCTGTCAGGCTTAGCCTGATATGCCGCAACCAAACATTGTCGCGGAGCTCTTCGCGAATATTGTCCTGAGCCGTTTTCACACATTCCAATTGCTTTCCTCTTGTAAAAAAATGATATCAACCACGTACTCACGAAGTCGGCTTCAACAAAACATCATCTTATGACTACATGATTTTCTGCGACAACCGGTTCAGTTGTTTTAAGTGCTGGCTGGAGTACTAAGAATGTTGCAGTAATTCCCCCCCCCCCCCCACCTACTGAGGTTAAGTAGCGGAATGTAACCGACAAACGCGGAAAAGGCTCGCGTATAATAAAAAAGTACAAGCACGTCGCCATCAGTACTGACGACAGAATGGGTGTTACCCTCTTACCAATCGGCCTTAACTAGGATAAATATGGCTCTGATCACGACTTTCCGGGACTACAACGAAACCCAGGGGGACAAATCGCATCTTGAAAGTTGGTCATACTGACAACAGTTCCCTGCTTGGTGAGACCTTCAAAGAAACGCACACGAATGGCGAGCAGCAACTCCAGTTTGCAGTTAAACGCTGTTGGAACGAAAGTTCCGCTACCCGGTTGCACAGAGCAGAAAATTTCTCCGTCTGAATGGCGGGAGGTCCGGTGTGATCAACTAAGTTGGT